GCAGCCTGTGCCTACCTGGGCCGAACCGGTCACGATTTCGTGGGGGCCGTTGTCAGGGGCAAGGGAATCTAGAGGAATATCGACGTGAACCCAATCCTCCAGGGGTAACATCCTGTCGCGTCATAAACACTAAACACTTGAGCAATTATAATCCAATTTAGCTAGAGCAACGAATTTGGAACACGCGCTGCCCTCCAGGAGCAGCAGCTCTGTGTCTAGGGTTGGCACTGCACTGGGAAGGGGAGGGCATGGTACTTCATCCAGGCCCCAAGTGGATTTCGGTCTGGAAATATGGCACTGATTGAAGCTAGGCAGCCGTGAAGTCTAGCATTACAGCTCCTCACCATTAGAGTTTCTGGCGCTGCTCGCAAGTACACCGGGTAGCAACACAAATATTTACTGTAATTATGTCACAGGAAGTTGTTGTCGGGGATGGTGGGGGTTGTGGTTGTGATTGTGGTTGTGGTTGTGGTTGTGCTGGTGGTGGTTGTTGTGGTTGTGGTTCTGGTTGTAGTTGTGGTGGTGATTGTGGTGGTGGTTGTTCTGATTGTGGTTGCGGTTCTGGTTGTAGTTGTGGTTGTGGTGGTGGTGATGGTGGTGGTGGTGGTGGTGGCGGGGGTGGTGGCGGTGGTGGTGGTGGTGGTGGTGGTGGTGGTGGTGGTGGTGGTGGTGGTGGTGGTGGGGGGAGTAGGAGGAGTGGGAGTGGGAGTAGGAGTAGGAGTAGGAGTAGGAGTAGGAGTAGTAGTAGTAGTAGTAGTAGGAGGAGGGTTAAGACTACTAGACTGTAGGTTTTCCCTTGCTTGCACGCTTGCACCCCCCCTGCCCCTTTTGGATGCCTGACATGCCCTCAGACTGGGGGAAATCCACATTCCTACACCCAAACCCCTAAACATGTATGGTGGCTACCATAGATACGCATGTAGACCCCAATATACAATAGGGATACCATGTTTTGGAAACCTTGACCTCAAGACCCTACATATCCCCGTATAACCCACAATGCCTTTTGAACGGACTACACACACATGTCCGTAGATATGTATATATATATATATACATATACACATATTTTGACATATCTGTACGTATATATATATATATATAATACCCTACACCCTAAACCCTAAACCCGAATATAGACATATAGATATGGATATATATATATAGACAATATGCGCACCACCTAAAGCACAGGGAGCTCCGGCCGCATGGCCCTGCCTCGCCGCTGCATTCAGCTCGTAGGCCTGGCAGCTACGAGCAGATGCGTTGCAATCACACCTAAGGTTTTAGGGTGTGGGGGTTTAGGATTTAGGGGTTTAGGGTTTGGTATTAGGGTTATATTGGGGTTATGTGGGGATAATGGAAAATGATATGGAAACTACTATGATGGGTTATATAGGGTTAAGGGCTTAGGGTCCTGCGCTTCAGAAAAATTGACTGCGGTCAGCAGATTCTAGAGTTGGTGACATGTGCACTTCTGGATGCGGTGTTTGCAGTTCAGTACTCAAACAACTCTGATGTATCACTGGGGGCCCTAAGCCCTAAACCGCAAGCAGCCGCCATCTCGAATTCAAGCTTCAGTTCAACGAGCCCCTGCTGGATCCAGACTTTTCGGCTTAAAAGCAGAATAGTTTCGAGATAGTCCAACAACGGTAATAAATGAAACTAGCAATAACAACGATACTTACTGTACTGCGTGGTAATGATAATGGTAATGCTACCGTTCCCGAAAGATTGATGGCTTGCTTGCGGTTCCATCTGGGCTTGAGGCGCCCATCAGATTCCATCGTTGAAGCTACACTCAATTCAATGTTTCCAAAATGATTAAGGGACATGAGTCCTTATCATGAAATATATGACGGATTGTACTGAACTATCATATGGACCCTATGTCCACCCTCAACGGTCCCATGGTAAGCCATATATCAACGGGAGCTCATGTGCTCCGTGAACATCTACGTGTAGAAGCGCAACGCACGCTTGGAAGCCGAGCGGTCTGAAGCTTTGTCGTAGGATTTAAGCATTACAGTGCAACACTGCGTGTACCGTCCCTAAACCCTAAAGCCCTAAACCCCAAACCCCTAAACCCTATACCCTAAACCCCAAAACCTATACCCTAAACCCTATACCCTAAAGCCTACACTCAAGGCTCAGGCCGCCCACCTAAGATCTTGCATCCCGCAGGGTTTCAGATTCGTTTCAGAGCCTGACGGACAAGCGTCGGAGGACGTCCAGTCAGGCGCCAGATTTTCGAGTAGGCGATTGTTGGCGGGCTAAGAGCCGGCAGTACCATTCGTCCTTCATGATGATCAACTCCAAGTTGCCGTGGAGTTCACGGTCCAACTTGGCCTGGATGTTAGTTCGAACCTTTTTTATGCGTGTCTCACTTCTTGGCTATAGAAATGTTTGAAGACAGCCTAACATCAAAATGCAAAGGTGTTGTTGGCCAAGATGGACCTAACTGAGTTTAGGTCGTAAACCCTAAAAGGAGTAGGTTTGGGTGGCTTGGCCGCCTTAGACGGCGTCAGGTGGGTGAATGTGTTAGATGGCCTTCTACAGTCACCCATGGCGGCGCCTCGCATGCAGCCGTGTACGTGAGGGAGCATTGACATCTAATCATCATCTCTTGCATGGTACTTCACAGCAAACCCCAAACCGTAAACCCTAAGCCCTAAACCCTTGAGCCT